TCCCCAAAGCGGCGAGACAAGATGCTGCCCGGGCTCCCGCGCCTGCTGCAAGGTAGGGACCCGGGGTGGCCGGAGGAGGGTGGGCGGGGGTGGCGGAGACACCCCCTCAGGGACGGGAGCAAGGCAGCCCCTCCCCAACCCTGGCCTAGGGTGGGGCAAGCAGGGGGTTAGGGGAGCCCCGCAGGGGGCCGGCTGAGCGCCCGGCCCCGCCCCCGCCCCTCCGCTGGCTGGCCGCGGCCGGGTTGTGAGCCTGCGGGAGTGCGCGGTGTGCTCGTGACCGTGACTGAGGGGAGAAGACCAGGGGCCAGCGAGCCCGAGTCGGCTGGGGAGGGAGGTTCAGGTTCCGCCGTCCCGGCTCCACCTGCTCTCGGGAACGTGGAGGACTCGGGCCGGCTGGGGAAGCGCCGACTCAGCAACTCCTGGAGCCCCGTGCCTCAGCACTTTCTGTCACCTGGGAGGTCACAGGGGTGTGGGTAGGTGGCCGACTAGGGGGGTCAGGGGTGTAGCCAGGGCTCTAAAGGGCCCTCCCCAGTAGAACAGATGGCAGGCTAGTTCCACCGATTGAGGGATTGAGGGACGGGTGTGGGCCCGAGACAGGGGGCAGGGTTGGGTGGCGAATGGGTCCGAGGAGGGGTGGTGGGAAGAGGGTGACAAAGGTGGAGAAAGTGGTTGGGGAGGTGGGAGAAGCTAAGGAGGAAAATGAGGTATAAAGGTGAGTGGAGGGGGAGGGGGTTACAGCCCAGGAAATGGAGCTGAAGTGGGGAGGGAGAAAAGGAGAGGAGATTATGGGAGGGCTGGAAAGACATCATGACAGGGATTCAGAATTGGTGGGGGGTTACTAAATCAAAGATGAAGATGACGGCTGGAACCCTCGTTCCCCCCTCCCCCCACTCTTACTGGATCAGAAAGCAGTGGAAACTGGCTGGGGTGGTGAATAGAGATGGGGATTGGATCAGGAGGAGGGGGGCCAGGGACCCACAGATGGAGATGGGCTGGGGAGAGCTGGCTGGAGATGAGGGAAGGGAGGAGAAGAAAAGGGTGGGAGAGAGGGACCAGGGGTGGAGGCTGCCCAGAGAGGAGACAAAGAAGCTTCTGGTAACCACTTCCACGTGCAAAGCCCTGCCTTCCCACTGTGCTCCTCTCTCCTGCCAGGTTGGGGGCTCTGGGCTCAGGGCCTTGGGGGCAGCTTCAAGGGGAAGAGGGTGGGTACTCTGGCTTCGTGCTGCCATTTATATCTCTGGGCCCCGTTGGAGCCTACAGCCGCCGCCACAGTAGCTGCTTATTTTGGGGTGTCACATTCTGGCAGAGTGAGAAGCTGTTTGCAGCAGCTCTAACCCTCGTCGCCCGCGTCAGTGCCTCCCCAGGCCCCTGCGTCACTGCCATCACCACCTCCGTCCCATCTCGACTCCCACCTCCTCAGCCCCGGCCCCCTCAGCATCTGCCCTGCAGGGCCTGGCCCTTCCTCGAAGCCTGCTGGACAAGAGCCCTAAGCTACCCCTTCCAGGGCCGGAGCCCTGACCCCATCAGCTTTCTGCCCAGGGCCCACCCTGGGCCAACCCCCCTACCCTTCCTTCCATGGGACCCCCGGGGTGAGAGCATTGTTCTGGCCTCTGTTCCATCTCCTGGCCAAACCTTCTGGACACTGGTCATCTCTTCTAGGAAAGTTTCCAACAGTGCCTGGGTCTCCTAACGGTGACTCCAAAAAGCAATCCTGCCCCAGACTAGTGGCTGACCCAGCCCCAGACACCTGGGCTCCATGTGTACCCCCCACTTCCTCTCAAGGCCATAGAGAGCTAGTCTCCAGAGACCAGAGAGACCCCTCTCACCATCCCTACCTTTTAATGTGGGCTCCACCTTGCACTAGTTGATGGCCTGAGGCAGCCTACTGCCTGTTCCAGAGCCTCCCTTCCCTCTGGGGAAAACTGGGGACCATAATGGGGACCTTAGAACAGGATATGTGATGAGTGCTCTAATCTCTGGATCAAAAAGTTGATGTGTGAAAATAGGCTGCCTGGCACACAGTAGGTGCTTAATAGCAGGTGGTCCCCTCCTTTATACCCACTTTACCCAGCCGCCAAGTCAGGCCATCTTCAGCAGACTTGGTGGGAGGACTGGGGAGAGGATAGGGTGGGCAGCGAGGGGAGTAGGGGCAGCTGTAGAAGGACTTCCCCTGCCCATCTCGTGGACAGATGAGATAAAGGCTTCCGAGAGAGATACAGAAGGCAAGGCTGTCAGGGATCAGCCCTGCCCTTTTCCAACCCCAAGGGACTCCCTGTCAGATGACATGTCACTTTAGAGGGTGCTGAGGGTCCCCCTGCCACCTGCCATCCCTGACACCCTGTGCCTTTTGCCCCAGTCTCTACTGGGAATCACAACTTGGGGACCGGAGCGGAGCAAGGAGGCTCTGAAGTGGTAGCCAAGAGACTGAGACATGGCTGGGGAAGGGAGCTGAATGAGGCCAGAAAGGGGAAGGGCATCCAGCAGGCGGGAATGAGAGGACAGGAGGCAGAGAAAGGCGCAGCTTGCTAGCCTCCGCTGCCTGCCTGCTGCCCAGGGCACTGGAGAGCTGGGCCTGGGGGCCGAGAAGCCTGGAGCCCCCCACCTTCCCCTCCTCCTCGCCTCCAGTGAGAGCTGCAGCCTGAATTATGGATGAGGCTCCTTGGGTTACAGCTGCTTTGCGGTGAGGGCCAGAAATGGCAACAGAGTCGCTGGCACGAAGCAGCTGCCATGGCAGGGGTCCCCCACTCAGGGTCCCTCCTCCAAGAGCCTGCAGGGACCACCGTCCTGGGCTGGGGTAGGTGGGCTACAGTGAGGCAGGGGGTTACTGGACAAGAGAGGAAGTGTCAGAGAGAGGGGAGCATTGTCCACATGGAGGACTTTGGAGGTAGGGGTTGTGGGTGAGGGATGCATGGGGGCCCTTGCCAACTCTGGGTGACCTCCGTGCTGGAGGGACTAGGGGACTGGCCCCCATCCTTGGGCCCTCTGGGCCTGCATGACCCTTTCTGCTGTCAGGTAGCCGGCAGCCCTGGAGGGTGCGGGAGCTCCTCTGTAATCCTCCAGAGGGAGGCTAGGATTAAGGGATCAGGGAAGGATTTGGCTTCCTCTGGTGTCAAGTCCTTGGGGAAGCAGAGCTGAGAGGGTGACTCGGACAGGAAGGGAAGTGGCCTGGCTGGGTGTCAGGAGCCTCCTTTCTGGCCCTCGGCCCATCACCACTTGGCTGTGTGACCTTGGGCAAGTCACTTGCCCTCTCTGGGCCCCGTTTCCACCTCAGTGGAGCAGGAGGTTGGACCCGGTGATCCTGGAGAATCTTTCCAGCTCTGCCATGACCATGTCTATGCCCCGGTCCCCAAGCATCATGACACCCACCCGGTTGAGTTCCCCCACCATGCTCCCTCGCCCCACCCCTGCCTGGTTCGGATGAGGGGTGAGAGACAGGCTCCTCCACCCCACGTGGCTCGGAGCACCCAGGGAGGAGAAAGTAATCGTGAAACGCCGCCCGGGGGAGGGGTGAGAAGGGCCGAGAAAGGCAGAGGCGGTGTGAACGAATGGAACAGCAGTGGCTGTGTCACCGGGTATTATTACATCACACCCAGCCTACACACGCATGGGCCCGGCGCTCACACACGCGGAGGACAGCCAGCACACGCTCTCGCGCACACACTCACAGGCATCGCCCCCCACCCTGAGCCCACCCCTGTGGTGTGTTCCCACCAGAGGCGGCCACTGGAGCAGCTGGGAGGCCACTGCCACACCTGGCTTGGTGGCACTTCAGGTGGTCAGCAGCTGGCTCACAGTCCCCCAGAATCACATGCACATGAGTTCTTACACTCTGTTCTCGGGAGCGGGAGATGCTCGAGGCCCTGCACACAGGAGCTGCCGGTAGGTGCGAGGCGCAACTTCAGAGTAGTCACACCCAAAAACACCCGTTCAGTCCCTCCTGGGCCTAGGAGCCAGAGAACCTGGCCATTGGGATCAAGGGCCAGGCTCCACCCCTCTGGCCTCATAGGCTTCTCATGTTGCCTCTAGGCAATGGAGGTGAATCACTGCCTAGCTTGCCCCAGGGCACCCTTCCCTCCAGAATTGCTATCAGCTGCAGTCAGGGCGGGTGGCAAGGGTGATGAGGGGACTTGTACCCCCTGTGATGGCACAGGAACACCGGGGGTGGCAGAAGACTCGTTAGCCCCCAGCCCTTTGCCCTCACGGGGCCTGCTCTGTCTGTATCAGGTGGGACTTGACTATGTCTAACCCTCAAAAGTTCCTTTTGGGGGGGAAAAAAAACGATAATAAATTAGAGTGATTTTGGAGGAGAGACGCTGGGGGGTGGCGGTGAAGGATGCTGGGCTCACCCAGCGATGCTGACTCTGCAGGGGGAGCTCGGGAAGCTGCATTCTCTCTGAGACTCTAGTCTAGGTTGCAGGTGGTGGGAGAACCACGTGAGCCCGGGGCCCTCAGGGCTCCCCATTTGAGGGACACGGCAGGAAGAGGGGAGAGAGGGGGCGAGGGGCACCAAGTGAAGCCGGTCCATCCCCAGGCTGGCCAGGTGGCCTTAGAGTCACAGAGGCTCTCAGGTCTGACTCAGTGGCTCTCACCTGGGGCCATTAGTTTAGCCCAGGGGCCAGCTGGCAGGGTCTGGAGACAGCTGGCTGCCATCACTGTGTCTGCTGGCATCTGCTCAGACAGAGTTGCTACTGAGCCCTCTACCAACAGCAGCACCCCCTCCCCCAGAAACAGTCGGGCCAAGTGTTCCTACTGAGGGGGGAAAGCCCTGTCCCTAAACCAGTTCAGGCACAGAGGGGAAAGACTGGGCGGAAAGTCCCGATGTGTGCCAGAAACTTGAAACACATCCTAGTGCCCTGTATAATATCCACTTGGGACATCTCTAGCTTTCCACATATCAGGACCCTCAAAAAGGAGACGGGGCCAGCGCTTCTTGGGACTCTGAAGTTGCACTCAGAACAGCCCCCACTCCTTGTCCCCCAACACACACACACACACACACACACACACACACACAATTTAGCCCTGGCCTTTACAGAGTGGGCAGGCCCCAGGTGGCCAGCACGCCCGGCCCTGCAGCCTGCCCAGCAAAGCCCTCCCCTCTCTCCACAGGTCCTGCCTCGGCCTGTCTCCTGCTGACGCTCCTGGCCCTGGCCCTGGCCCCTGCAGCTCCCAGCTGCCCTATGCTCTGTACCTGCTACTCATCCCCACCCACCGTCAGCTGCCAGGCCAACAACTTCTCCTCGGTGCCGCTGTCCCTGCCACCCAGCACGCAGCGACTCTTCCTGCAGAACAACCTCATCCGCACGCTGCGGCCCGGCACCTTCGGGCCCAACCTACTCACCCTGTGGCTCTTCTCTAACAACCTCTCCACCATCTACCCGGGCACCTTCCGCCGCCTGCAGGCGCTCGAGGAGCTGGACCTGGGCGACAACCGCCACCTGCGCTCGCTGGAGTCCGACACCTTCCAGGGCCTGGAAAGGCTGCAGTCCCTGCATCTGTACCGCTGCCAGCTCAGCAGCCTGCCCGGCAACATCTTCCGAGGCCTGGTCAGCCTGCAGTACCTCTACCTCCAGGAGAACAGCCTGCTCCACCTCCAGGTAAGCCTGCCCTGCCGCATCACCCTCCTGCCTCAGCAGCGCCTTCTACTTCCCTGCCCCAATTCTAAGTCTAAGGAGCGCTGGTGAACATCACGGCCGGCAGTTCAAAACCACCAGCAAGCACCTCCTTCAAGAAAGTCTGGACTTTCTACTCTCGTAAACCACTAGGAGTCAGCACTGACCCAATGGCAGTGAGTTTGCGTTTGGGCTTGGGTTTCTAAGTTTAAGGAGCCAGGCTGACATCATGATTACAAGTTGGGCTGCTAACTGCAAGGGCAGCAGTTCGAAACCACCAGCCCCTCCGCAGGGAAAAAGGTGTGACTTTCTACTCCCGTAAAGAGTTACTATCTCAGAAACCCACTGGGGCAGTTCTACACTCTCTCATGGGGTCGCTGTGAGTTGGCATAGATTCAATGGCAGTGAGTTTGTTTTTTCCTAAGTTTTAGAGGGTCCCGGTGGTACAGCAGGGTAAGCATTGTTGGACTGCTGACTGCATGGTCAGTGGTTCAAACCCAACGACCACTCTTTGGGAGAAAGATGAGGCTGCCTGCTCCTGTAGATTTAATCGGGGCGGTGGTTTTTCTCAGTTCTGTCTCAATTTTCTTCACTCGGCTATTCTGTCTGCCTTCCTTGGTCTACCCTGTGTGGTCGGCCCCCAACACATCTGTGTTTGGGGATGAACAGAGAGGTTGGTAGTGTCAACCCACCCAGAGCCCCTCAGAAGTAAGGCCTGGCAATTCGCTTCCGTACTGACCCCTGGTGTTCACTGCCACTGAGAGCTCCGATGCGTGCAGGGTAGAACTATGTGTGCCCCACAGAGGCTCCAAGGCAGTCACCAGGCCTGTCTTCTGAGCTGCCTCTGGGTGGCTTCCATCCGCCGACCTTTCAGCTTCCGGTTCAACTTGTGACCGATTACGCTGCCCAGGGAGCAGCCGCTGGAAGCCCCAGTTTGGGCAGTTCTGCTCTGTAACAGTGTCTCTGTGAGAATCAACTTGAAGGCAACGGGTTTGGGTTCCACTTCTCTCACGCCAACTTTCCTAGCCCCTCTCGCCTTCTCCCTCTGCCTGTCTGTCGGTCTACCCCTTTTGGTCCCTCTCTGCCTCTCTCCACTAACTTGCCTCCTCCATCTGTCTGTCTCCCTTCACACACCCACTCCACACACACACCCATGTCTGTCTGGGTGCATGCACGCATCTCTTTCTGTGGTTCCCCGCCCCCCACCTGCCATTTGCCTTTAGGGGACTCTGCCAAGAGGCCTGTGGCAGCTTTCTCACCCCACCCCCACCTGGGTCCTCCCACAACCTGAGAGGGCAGAATCACTAGCCCCAGTGTATTATAGAAGGTTCTGCCTCTTACCAGCCTCCTGGGCAATGGGGCAGAGGGAAACCCCACCTTCTAGAGCACTGGTTCTCAACCTTCCTCATGCCGGGACCCTTTCGTGCAGTTCCTCAGGTGGTGATGACCCCCAACCATAAAATTATTTTCATTGCTACTTCATCACTGTCATTTTGCTACTGTTATGAATCGGGTGACCCCTGTGAAAGGGTCGTTCGACCCCCAGAGGGGTCTCGACCCACAGGTTGAGAACCACTGTTCTAGAGCCTTGTCCCTCAAACCGGTCCCCTCTGCTTGGGGGAAGACAATGACAGAGGGGAGGCAAAGCAGTCAAAGCAGCGGGAACACAGATGCCCTGGAAACGGAAGGAATAGCAGTCATTGTTATTTATTTTGATTATTATTGATCTAATTATTGTTTACTGTTGTTGTTATGTTGACTGTTTGACAGTCAATTCCTCCCATTTCATTTCCCCAGGAAGCAGCCACACACCTCCAAACCACCCAGGGGGGAAAAGATCCCTCTTCTTTCTACACTGCCTCTGACTTGGAGCGGGTAGGGGAATCCAAAACCCCTGCCCCACAGACCTGGAAGGCCAGTCCTCCTCCACAGCTGGGGGGTGGGGGTGGTGAACCGCTGGTCTCCAGGTCCGGCCACGGTTGATAGTGCTGTTTGTGTGAGGACCCACCCTGTGCTAGGTACTGAGGGACAGCCATGCCAAACAGGCAGCAGTCCCCTGCCTTCACAGAAATACCCTTACAGTGGGCAGACAGAAATGGTTTGTGCTCAGTGGAACTGACAGGTGGAACCCACCCAGCATGCCTTGGGAGAAAGGCCTGGCGAGCTACTTCTGGAAAGACAGCAGCCAAGAAAAGCCTTTGGAGCGCTTCTGCTCTGTGACCCACGGGCCGAGGGGAGTTGGCATGAGCTTGACAGCTTTTTCAGGGGGGTGGGAGGGAGGAGGCCAGCTGGAAGTCAAATGGATAGTAGGATGGGAAACGATGCTGTGTGGTATTATTATTGTATCCAGAATAATTCCATGCACACACTGTGGGCCGTGCGAAGCACTTGGCGGGTCTCAACTCTGCCGTTGGCCAGAAGGGTGACTTCTTTATAAACCTCTTGGGCCTCGGTTTTCCCATCTGGAAAAGGGGAGGTAGCAGTAGCCCCTATCTCCTAGGGATCTTACAAGGATGAAATACATGAATAATTTGTAAAGCCCTTAGAATAGTGCTTGGCATACGGTAAGCACTATGTAAATGCTTGTTAAGAAGCTATTAAGAAAAACCAACCAGAGAAATGTCATCCAGCAGCTGCAGGGGTGGCCTGAGAACATGCTTGTCTATGAACCTAGAGATTGGAGTCAACTTCAAAGACTTCCCTGAGGTCCTGGGGGTCCCTGGAACTCTGAACCCTTATCTTGTGTTACCTAATTTACCCAGCACATCACAGCCTCCCTGGAATCCTGCTGGCGTGGCAGGTTGAGCACTGACCTGCTACCCCAAAGGTCTTAAGCAGGCACTGCTCCACAGGAGAAAGATGAGGCGGTCTGTTTCTGCAGAGATTGACAGCTGCAGAACCCCCAGGGAGAGGTTCTACTCTGCTCCCACAGGCTCACTATGAGTTGGAATCAACTCAGCACAGGTGGATTTGGGGTTTGATTTGGGCTGCCCTTTACACAATGAACCCGTGCACCCTATCTCATTTGCACATCTCGTCAGGAGATGGGGGTCCCAAAGTGGTACAAGAGGTTCACATACTGACTGCTCACCAAAAGGTTGGAAATCTGACTCCACCCAGAGGCACCTCACAAGAAAGGACAGGGGAGCTACTTCTGAAAAACAGCCTTCTGGGGACGAGGGGGAGCCAAACAACCCGCTGGCTCACAGTTCTCCCCTGACATATCTGGAGTCACCCTGAGGGGAGGTTGGCTTGGTGGCCACTGGGTGGTGGCGATGGTGGTGGTTTGGGCTTCGGAGATGGTTGTCATCCTTCTTGCCAGCCAAGAAACGGGTGTCCCAAGACCCCATAACTCAGTGGTTTTCCACCTTCCTAATGCCGCGACCCTTTCATACAGTTCATGCAGTGGTGACCCCCCCAACCATAAAATTATTTTCGTTGATACTTCATCACTGTCATTTTGCTACTGTGATGAATCGGGCGACCTCTGTGAAAGGATCGGTCAACCCACAAAGGGGTGGCGACCCGCAGGTTGAAAACCGCTGTCCTAACTCTTGGAGGGCTCTAACGGCCTCTCAGTTGGTCTCATAAACCCTTGGGCCTGTGAGTGAGGGCTCTATGTTCTCAGCATCCCATTGAACTTCACAGCAGTGCAGCCATGGAGTCAGCTGTGCACATTGACACGGAGGAAGGTTCCCAAGGCCCAGGGGCCTGCCTGATGCTACACATCGGACAGAGTCACAAGGTCTGACCACAACTAAGTCCATTTTCAACACCAAGGAGCCCCCATTAGGGTTTGTCTGGGCAGGGGATGTCCTCAGAGGCGCCGCACAGCCTACCAGGCTGAGGGTGGCATCCCAGCTCCTGTATGCCTTTGGAGGAAACATTACTTAGCCTCTTTCCCTCTCCACCTCCTCATCTACAAAATGGCAATGATAATCCCAAAACCAAGCTCACTGCCATTGAGTTGATGGTGACTCAAAGCGGCCCTATAGGGCAGAGTGGAACTACCCAGGTGAGTGTCTGAGACTGTAACTCATTACAGGAGTTGAAAGCCCTGTCTTTCTCCCGAGGAGCTGCTGAGGGGTTCGAAGTACTGACCTTGCAGTTAGCAGCCCAACTGGTAACCACACCACCACCAGGGCTCCTAGGGTGACAATAGCACTCTGTGATTTTATGGCTGATCTAAGGGAGGAATGTGAGTTTGAGAACATAAGACATTTTGGCACACCCAAAAGGACAGAGGTTCTGATCCATCCGGCAGCACCTCAGAAGAAAGGTCTGGCCATCTATCCTGAAGAACTAGCTCCTAAAAGTCCTACGGAGCACAGCTCCCCTGATACCCTGGGGGCGGCCATGAGTCCGTGCCAGCCCCACAGCAACAGGTGATGGAGTGTTGGGTAGGTAGTTAATAGTACTAGTACTTCTGAGACCTCCTTACCAACACACATCGATGAGTGGGTCGCAGGGAAAGACCTGGGATCAGAGGGCCCGCGTTTGAATCCTCACACTGAGACGTTCTGATGATACTGTGTTAGGAAGTTGCCTCCCCTCTCCCTGAACCTCTGTTTCCTCATCTGTAAACTAGGAGTGACAGTCACACCATCCTCAAAGAACAGCGACAAGGAGTGAGTTTGTGTGTCTAAAGCACATGCACTGGTATGGAATAAACCGTGTCATGGTGACCCAACAGCCCCCGAACTCCCCCTTTGTCAGCTCTCCGGCTCAGAGCAGTCAGGGTCTAGGGTCAGGACCAGCCTGGGCAGATACCCACCTCTGGGGTGTGCTTGGGCTGTCTGGAGTGGGAAGTGGTGGTTCCGCACACCCTGGCATGAGTGGTCCTGGGCATCATGGGAAGGGGGTGTCTTCACACCTGGCCTTTTATAGAGGAGCAAGAAACAGTGTTCTTGCCTGTGAACTGCCTGGCGGAACTAGGCTGGGAGCTGCCACAGGCAGGTGAGGAAACACGTGGGCTGGGGTGAGAGGCACCAGGTGCAGGTGTGAGCTGGGAGGGAGCCAGGCCTGCCCAGGAGGGGGGCTGTGGAGGTCCGAGGAGAGCCGTGGGTGGAAGCGCCCGCTGCCTGGAGGCCACTCCTGTGTTCCCGGGAGTCCGTCGCCCTGCTCTCATGGAGCTCATCTCCGACGTAAACGATAAAGACACCGGTTCTCTTTGCAGTGTAGCAGCTTGTGTGGTATTGGAGAGATCTCTGCACCCAGGCAAGCCTGGGTCTGAATCCAATTTGCTCTGTGGCTTTGGGCAAATGACTTAACCACTCTGAGCCTCAACGGACCCATCTGTAAGGAGGCCTGGACCTCAGGCTGAGGTTGGTTGTGAGAATGAAAGGACTGGGCTTGGTGTCTGGCTCAGAGTAAGCTCCCAGCGAATGCTATTGTTCTTCGGTGCCGCCCAGTCGGTTCCGACTCACACTCACTCCAAGTACAACCGAACAAGACACTGGCCGGTTCTGTGTCACCCTCACAGTTGTGGATGGCATGAAGCCCAGTGATGTAGCCACTGTGTCCCTCCTTCTCCTTGAGGGTCTTCCTCTTTTCCAGTGACCCCATTTTACCAATTCATGGTAACGGTCATTTCCCTTGAGGGGCTCTGGGCCTGCCATGGGCTAGGTATCAGCTGCCCTCTGCAAGGTCGGTGGTTCAGAACCACCAGCTGGATGAGGCTGCCCGCTCCCATACAGAGATACTCTTGGAAACCTTGTATGGAGTCACACAAGTCAAAACCAACTCAATGGCATTGGGATTTTTTGGTTTTTTGCTGCTGTTTTTTTTAAAAATTATTCCTTCCAGAGTCCCTGGGTGGTCTAACTGGGTGACCTGCTTGACTACTAACTAAAAGCTTGGAGGGTCAAGTCTACCCAGAGGTGCCTCTGAAGAAGAGCCTGGTGATCGGTGTGCAAAAAATCAACTGTTGCAACCTCTATGGAGTAGTCCTGCTCGGTCACACAAGGCGTCACCACGAGTTGGCGTGACACCAGTGGTGACCAGTTGATCAGCTCCCCCATTAGACAGAGAAGACGTCCAGGTTCAGCCGGCTCCCTTGGCTGGCTAGTCAGGGGCTCAGTCTAGCACTCACCCCAGCCTGACAACAGGGGTCCCAGGGTGGCACAAACAGTTGGCACTCAACTATTAACCTAGAGGTTGGCAGTTTGAAACCACCCAGCAGCACCGAGGAAGAAAGGCTGGGTGGTAAGCTTTAGTGAAGATTGCAGCCAACGAGCCCCTAGGGGGCAGTTCTACCCTGTAACTGAGGGAGTCACCCTCAGACAGACTTGACATGGCAGCACAGATGTTGAGGGCTTTTTTGGCTGACTCCAGAGTGAAATTGTTCAGTGCCTTGTCTGTGAAGCTCGAATTCTCACCCACCACATGTTAGCTGTTGTCTTCTCTGAGCCCACTCCCCAACCTCTGAAATGGGGCTGATGATATTACAGGTTGGGCTGCTAACAGTAAGGTCAGCAGTTCGAAACCACCAGCCCCTCCAGGGGAGAAAGATAGGGCTTTCTACTCTTGTAGAGTTAGGGTCTGGGAAACCCACAAGGCCAGTTTTACCTTGCCCCTACCAGGTCGCTATGAGTTGGCATTGACTCGATGGCTGTGTGTTTGGGTTTGGGTTTTGGGTTTTTTTTAATAGGGTTGTTCACTGACCCTTGAGGGTCGGTGGGGAAAAGGAAGACCCTCAGAAAGATGGATTGATATCAAGGGGCTAAAACAGGCCCGGGTGGGGGAGGTTGTTCTGTGGTACATCAACAGTAGCTAACCAGGGTTCTAGGAGCCCTGGTGGCTCAGTGGTTAAGCACTCCACTGCTAAATGAAAGGTCAGTGGTTCAAACCTACTGCATTTGCAGTAGAAAGCTAAGGCAGTCTGCCCCTGTGGGACCACAGCTTTGAAAACACAGTGGGACCATTCTATTCCGCTGGCAGCGGTTAGGGGCATTGTAAGGTTGAAGTAGGGTTGTGATGGCCAATGACAGCGTGGGTTCTGGGTGGTCCCCAGGAGAGCTCATTCAATCAAGGCTTAATGGTGCTGATGCTGGTGCTTCTTTCTGGCGAGCTCTGTGAGCAGGGGTGCCTTTGGGCAGGGCGGCTGCTCAGCACTGCTTGGGTGAATGGCGGGTGCACTCCCCAGCTAGCCTACTCATAAATATCAGATGAGATAACATCTGAAAGATCAACAACCCCAAGTGCCTCTTTCACAAGCTGGGGCCCAGAGAGGTGCTTGGCGCTGCCCAGGGTCACACCGCCCAGTGGGGCTGACTGGAGTCAGAACCCGGAAGTTGGAGGGAGGTGAGGCTTAAAGCAGGATGCTATCCGGGAATGGGGGTGGGATGGATGCTTCTGTGAGCTTCCAAATGGATGCAGAAAGCTGTAAAGCAGCCCAGTGAGGTGCGGTGGGGGGGCGGGGGGAGGATGTGGTCTTGCAGATGAAGAGGATGTGCTGAGGAGGTGGGGTGGGGGAAGGGCGAGGGCAAGTGCTCTGCGAGTCAAGAGCTTATTAATGCACAGACAACGGGTTTCACAGTGGAGCGAGGAAAGCCCGGATTAGGGCGCTACATCCGGGGAAGTGGATTTGGCAATAGCTTGTGGGTGGTGGGGTAGACCCCAAGGCTGAGGCTCCGAAGAGAGGGACACACGAAGTCGGCAGAGAACTGAAGTGGGGAGAGGCACGGTGGAATTCTGGGGTCTGCATGGCGGGGCTCCGGGCTAGAGGCACCTCAATTCCCTGAGATCTCCTATCTGTACCCGCCTCTGAAATGTCCGTTATCCCTGCTTCCTCTCCCCCATCTCCGCCCTCCTCTCCGCACCTCCAGACCACACTGAGCGGTGTCCTACTCTTGTTGACATTTCATGAAAAGAAGAAACCCCATCACTCACAGTGATGACAGGGACTGGACAGGCCAGGTGGAGTGGGCTGAGGTGGCGGGGTGGGGGGTGAGGGGACGGTTCAGGGAGCTAGTTGGAGACCTGAGCCAGGATTGGGGTGGTGGCAGCGGGAGGCGGGGAAGCTAGTGTCAGAGGCTGCGCACGAAGGTTGAGGGGAGACGGATCTCAATGTGGCCAAGAAGAGGGTGCTTGGCAGGCTTAGTTCCTGCCGGAGAGAGTGGATGCCAGATGGGAGGGGGCGAGCACCCGCGGGAGCACAGGAAGGTGGGAGCTGGGAGGTGGGGCATTCCCAGGCAGGGAAGGGAGGGCATGCTTGTCCCTAGACCCAGAGCTCCTGGCACCTGCTGACCCAGCAATGTCTCGGGGCTATGGGATTCTGGCAAGCCTCTCCCCAACCCAACCCTGAAAAGAGGGCTGTGCTGGGGTCCCCATGCACTGACTCCCAGTCCTGGACCCTAAGCTGGTGAAATGGTGAAGATGCAGTGGCCAGGCCCCCTCGCCAGACAAGGAACCACTCCACTACCGTTCAAATTCCGACTCAGCACCCTACGAGGCAGAGTGGAATGGTGCTGCAAGGTTCCCTAGGCCCGTAACTCGATGAAATGGACTGACACTGGCTGTAACAGTGGGCTGTTCTGAGGCTGGCACTGGACCGGGCAGTGTTGCGTTCTGTTGGACATAGGGGCTGCCAGGAATGAGTTAGTACCGACACCTCACAACGTTCCCAGAAGCAGACTGCCACATCTCTCTCCCAAGGAGTGGGTTCAATTCGCCAACATTGGGTTCGCATCCACGTGCTTTCACCGCTGCGCTACCCGGGCTTCTTTGGCAGGATCCAGTAGTCCCTACAGTTCGGTTTCAGCAGCAGCAGCAGCAGCAGCAGCACCTAGGACTAGGGAAAGGCCTGCAGGCTCACCCTGAAGACCCACCCAGACCTGCAGCTTTGTAGGTCTGGGGGCGGGGCTAGGGAGCACTGTTTTTAAAAGCCCGCCGCCCAGGGATTCTGCTCCTGCTGCTGTTTGAGAACCACTGACGCCAAGTCTACTGCGTGTCCCTCCGAAAGGAGAGGCGAGGAGGCAGGATTCGAACCCAAAGCCAGGAATCAAAAGGTGGCTCCAGTCTACCCTCCCTCCCCTTTCCCTCTTATTGGCAGGGCCCATGAGAAGCACAGCTGGGGGAGGTCCAGGCGGGGGACCACTCTCTTGGACGCCCCTCCCTCTCTCCACAGGATGACCTGTTCGCGGACCTGGCCAACCTGAGCCACCTCTTCCTCCACGGGAACCGCCTGCGGCTGCTCACGGAGCACGTGTTCCGCGGCCTGGGCAGCCTGGACCGGCTGCTGCTGCACGGGAACCGGCCGCAGGGCGTGCACCGCGCGGCCTTCCGCGGCCTCAGCCGCCTCACCATCCTCTACCTGTTCAACAACAGCCTGGCCTCGCTGCCTGGCGAAGCGCTGGCCGACCTGCCCGCGCTGGAGTTCCTGCGGCTCAACGCCAACCCCTGGGCCTGCGACTGCCGCGCGCGCCCGCTCTGGGCCTGGTTCCAGCGCGCGCGCGTATCCAGCTCCGACGTGACGTGCGCCACGCCCCCCGAGCGCCAGGGCCGCGACCTGCGCACCCTCCGCGAAGCCGACTTCCTGGCCTGCCCGCCCGCGGTGCCCACGCGGCCAGGCAGCCGCGCCCGCGGCAACAGCTCCTCCAACCACCTGTACGGGGTGGCCGAGGCCGGGGCGCCCCCCGCCGACCCGTCCACCCTTTACCGAGACCTGCCCGCCGAGGACCCGCGGGGGCGCCAGGGCGGGGACGCGCCCACGGAGGACGACTACTGGGGGGGCTACGGGGGCGAGGACCAGCGGGGCGAGCAAACGTGCCCCGGCGCCGCCTGCCAGGCGCCCCCGGACTCCCGCGGGCCCGCGCTCGCCGCCGGGCTCCCCACCCCTCTGCTTTGCCTCCTGCTGCTGGCGCCCCATCACCTCTGACTGCGGTGCTGAGACTGTAGGGGACCGGGGTGCCCCCGGAGCTGGGGCAGTGCCCCTAGTCTCCACCCTTGGTCTGGCGGCCTCCCGTCCCCCCTCCTACAGTCCCCTCTACCCTGGGACCAGGCCACCCAGTCTGGGTGGATGGCGTCTCCAGGAGGGCGTGTCCGGGGGCTCCGCCCTTGCCTCCTCCAACTCCGGCCCCGTTAACTCTCCCCCTTTTTAAAGCTGGGCAGCCCCCCCCCAAAGCTGCTGGTCCCCCCACTTTCCCAAGGCCCGCAGTGGACTCCCAGGGGGAATCTGCCTGCAGAGCAGCTCTTGCCGCGGAGACTTTGGAAAACTGCGGGGAAGAGCTCTACCCGGGAGATGATGGCAGGAGGGACGTCTCGCCCACGCTGACCCCAGAGCCCTGCCCCCTTTGTCCCACCCCACCCCACCCCCAGCCTCCCGACACTGGAGGAATATTTTTCTCCTAAGTCTACCCTGGACACTTTTTAGGGCACCTAGAGAGACCGTTCCTCTCCACCATTTGCCCCTGTGTGAAGAACAAAAACAATTGTTTGGGGACAAAAAATTTATTAAAAAATTCTATTATTTTATCTCCTTCTGTTAAGATTTGTTGGTGGAGGACCTGAAAAGTGGGACATTGGGTTTAGAGCGGTAAGGGTTTCAGGGCTGAAGAGGGTTAAAGCTTCCACATGACATCAGAGCCTCTGGTGGAGCCAATGGTTAGGCACCAGACTCCAGACCATTGAGTCAATGCTGACTCATAGCAACCCCCGTGGGTTTCAGAGACCATAACTGTTGATGGAGTAGAAACCCCCGTCTTTCTCCAGCAGGGCTACTGGTCGTTTTGAACTGCAGGCCATGCAGATTTCAGCCCCTCTCATAACCTCTACAGCACCAGGGCTCCTAATGGAAAAAGATAGCAGTTCCAACCTGGAAGTAAGCTAGTGATCTGCTCCCGAAAGGTAGAGTCTTGGCAACCCTACGGGGTTATACCCTGCATCCATGGGTTACCAGGTCAATTATGGTATCCACAAAAATAGTAACCCACCGAACACATCGAACAAAAACCCCTGCCAGCCAAGTTGTTCATGCTGGTTGGAATGGCTGTGCTGCCTTCCCATTACTCGAAGCTGCGGCCTAAGGAAGAGAAGTGGGACATAGGAGTCCCAGCTGGTGTGAAGCCTGAATGGGGCCTGAAGAAACCTCGTGGCCACATTGCTGGGTGGAAGCAGCTACAGCTGAGCCTCAGTCGTCTGGGAGCTGAACTGCTCAGGCAAGGAAAGCCCCCCAGCCGTAAGGTCTCCCTCCCAGACTCCATCCTTTAGGAGGAACAAGGACAGGAATAAACAGAGGAACAAGAATCCCAGGTTGGGGAGTTTTGCTGGCTTGAGATGTGGTCAGCACACACATTCTGGTGTGGGGAGAAGGAGAAGCCAAGCCAGTAGCCCTGGAGCTAATTCTGACCATGGAGACCTCATGCATTGCTGAGTAGAACTGTATACTCCCTGGGGCTTTCATGGCTGTGGCCTGGGGGAAGCGGGGCCAGGCCTTTCTTCCTAGGCGCTTCTGAGTGGGTGGTTTGAGCTGCCCCCTTTCAGTGGACAGCCAAGCACTTTGTGGCCCTCAGAGCAAAAGTCCAGGTTAAAAAACAAATCTCACTGCTGAGTTGACTCCAACTCATAGTAATGGGGGGTGGAGGGATGGGATTTTTTTAGTAAATTGGCTAATATAAAAATTACCTTTCAAAAAAATTACCTTTCTTCAAGTTAAAAGAAGAAGATGGACTTAGAGTGGAGGTTAGGAGTAGGTCTCATCAGAAGGAAGCAATTGGGAGAAGTCTGGTGTGAACCTAACTAGGGAGGTGGGAGTGGAAAGACAGAGGGACTGGGCTCCAGAAAGAGGCACTGAGATGCAAGGGCTTGGCCAGGGGAAGTCACCATGGTAGTGAGAGAGAAGCAGATGGAGAAGGAGACACCACTTAAGACTGGAGGCAAGTGGCCTTTTGATAAGGGCGGGGTGAGGAGGGGAGAGAGAGTGAGACCAGCTGGCCACAACCAGGGGAGCTCCGAGTCTGGGGTCCCCCAGGGGCCTGGGTCAGGCTGGCTTTGAGGCGGCTAATGACTGGGGCTGGGGACCAGCCAGGCAGGAGCTCTGGAGGAGGAGGGGCTGGCTGGGTCCTGGGCAGGGGGAGGGGGACGCTGGTAGCTCAGAAGCAGGCTGTCCAGGTCACAGAATTATCGTTGTGAAATATTCATGGACCTTCAGTCCAGATGCTATTTCAGAACAGCGAGAGCAGGGGGAGTGTGTGAGCCTCAGGAAGGAGCCGGCAGCCGGCACCAACTCGGCGCTCCGGCACCCCCACCCCCACCACTAGCAGCCCAGACAGACCCACGGACGCCCATCACGTGCACACCCACGCTCTCACGCTCGCTCTCACACACTCACACAAAGTGGAGCTGCAGGGCACGTGCCGGCACGCCAGCCACCCACGGGCCCCACAGACAAGCAGATGCACTCCAAATACCGGCAGGCATGCACAACCCACAACCGCCCAACCAGGACCTCTGCTTGGAGACCATACACCTCTCCATCCCAAGAAACCCACCACACAGACACACCCCAGCTTCTCCAAACAATCCAGGTTCACCACCTGAAATAGAAGGGACCAATCCCCCCCCCCCAATGTTCCCATGGGGAAACTGGAGCCCAGAGAGGACAAGGGGCCAGTCCTGAAAGAAACAAGCAAGCCCATTCACCTCCCACATCCTGTGGGTCTACACCATGCTGCATTCTGTGTACTCTGAGTCTAGTTGTAGTTAATGCCTCCTGTTCTGGAAATTCCTATCGCTTTCGCTACTCAGTCCCCCAGTCCCCCTCCCAGCCCTACTCCACCCTCCCCTTCCCTGCCTGCCCCCCTCCCTGCGCCAGCTCATTACCTCATGCCTAGAACCAAGGAGAAAATAGCAATAACCTCCTCACTGAATTTCCTACATGCAGCCCTCCCACTCAGCCTGCCTATGGTGGCCAGATTCATCTGACAAAATTTGTGTCATTATGTCACTCAGGAGCCTACAAAGCCTCCTTGTCGCCTACAAAACACCTTAGTACAGCATCAATGATCCCGCAGAGCCTGGTCCCTGCTGCCTTCCTACCTTTCCCACCCATGGACTTAGCCCAAAACTTCCCTCCTGGAAACTCACACCTACATTGAATGCTCCCTGGAGTTCCTCAGTCCCCCCCAAATCAGGAAACCCCTCTTTTTTCATGGCATAAACTCCAGAGCCCTTCCCCAAGGTCAGGTCTCTCGGACCCTTCATGGAGGGGGGGGTGCTCTTGTGACCCCCTTCACAGTCCCAGATACTCAGAGGATCAGGCTCAGACCAAGAGGGGTTTTGCCCCCTGCTGGCCACCTTGGGAAGCACAGCCAGCCTTCAGTCATCCAGCCCTGAGGAGGAGCATCTATTTGCCTGAGGACAATGCCAGATGACAGGGTTTATAAACCCTTAAGCCTCTAAGGTTCTTACAACACCTTCTCCAACCCCACCCCGGGACGGGGAAAAGACTCTCAGCTCTGCTTTCTGAACTATTGGCTCCTGACCTTAGGTTCCTAACTCATGAGAGACCATTTCCCCTCTGAAATACAAAGACTTTCAGGGAAGGGGCATTTGCCCACAGGCTCTGAGAGGGCAGGAGGCCAGGGACGGTCCAGGTGGCAGGCCCAAGGACCAATGGGGGTCAGGTTTCCACATGAATTTTTAATGCCTCCAAGCCAGACCTGTCAGATGTTCCGAAACCTGAGCATTGAGCATGTCCCTTTATCACTGGACATGATGCCCTTTCCCCATCTTCATTGCCCCTGAGGGAGGGGCACGGAGGGCATGCCTGGGACAGCTGTCCACTGGGCTCAGGAGTGGCTACTCATGGGGCATTGGCTTGGGGGATGGAGGAGAGTACAAAGGTGAATAGTTACTAGCTGTGTGACCTTGGGCAAGTTACTGGACCTCTCTGAACATTCATTTCATCTGAAAGCTAGGGGCCATCGCGCCTGTCTAAATCAAACTGCTGTGGCGAGTAACTGCAGTAGCCCGTGGAAAGGTGACCTCGCGGTGCATGTTTATGATTCTCATCTCTCCGGGAGGCCTGTCTCCCTCCTCCCATTATCTTCCAACCAGAGAGGCCTATGTCTTTTCCTGTCTTTACGTCTGCCGTCCCCTTTCACACCTAAGCTGTCCTTTACAAGATCCCAGGGTCTTCCTAAGAACTTCAGGTGATAAGAGGGGAAGAAGACAAGACAAGGGGTGGGGGGGCAGCTGATGAAGTAAAAGAGGAAGATCTGCTTAGGAGGAAAGGACAGGAGACCAGCAGAGGAGGAGAAGGGGTAAAAGCCAGGAGTAGACTGCTCATGCCCTCCCTCCTTCCTTCCCTACCCCTGTGCACCTTCTGCAGGGCAGACATGGCTGTGCTGAGCAGTGCAAAGTTAGGGTGGGGTAAGCAGAGGGGGTGCTGGCTTCATCCTTCTAGCTGCACCTTCCCTCCCCAGTGTTTCTAAAACAGGGAGCCCTTTGAATCTGATTTAGGTGGGAGCTGCCAAGAGCTATTGAGTAAGAGCTCTGGGGGGCATCCTAGAATCTGCATCTTAACCTGCAGGCCGGCTGGGTTACAAAGCACCCTCAAGTTTGAGGAACATCTCAGAGGTGCTTGGGATGGGGGCTTGGGGCAGAAGCCTGGGAAGAGCCTAAGAAAACAAAGGAGAGAAGGTTAGACACTTCCACTCCTGGCCTCTTCCCCTCGTCTCCCCACCCCACCCCCGCGCCCCACCCCTCCACACGCACCCTATTCTGTAAAACTTGATGGAAGTTACAGACCAGCCTCCTGTGGATTCTAGGGCAGAAGCCTCAAGGGTGGAGGAGAATAAAAGAGACAGAAGAGCCTGAGGCCCAAGCCCAAGTCGACACCAGCGGGTGTCCCCACCCCGCCCTCTGCTTGTGATCAGAGACCTTGAACTTCTGGGAAGGTCCTCGCCCCCAGTCTGGGGCAGGCTTAAGGACCTAGGGACACACGGATCTAAAGCCACCACCCTCCAGGCCAGCGCCCTCTGTCCCTCCCCGGAATTCCGCTCGGGCCCCAAGGTCTGACCTTCTGGCCCCGCCCCCAGTCCCGGCTCATCTGCATAAAGCTCCAATTAACACGTTTTCCCTCGGCGCTCGGCGCTCCTTGAACTCGCTCCAGCCGGCGCCCTCCGCCGCCTCGCCCCCAGCGCCCTGGCAGCCGCGTTAACCCGTGCGACCCGTTCGCTCCCCCGTGGCCTTGACCCTGAGGCCCGCCGTGCCGCGGGGCGGAGGGGCGAGGGCGCGGCTGGAGCTGGGGGCCAGAGGCCAGGGCGCTCCCACCCCCGCTGCTGAGAAGAGAGGGGGGAGCGCTTCTCCTGGGAGACTCGGGGCTTCGAAATTCCTCGTTCCGCATCCTCCGGCCCCCGCACCCCTCCTCCCCGCCACGCACCGTCTCCCCTCCCCAGCCATCTGTTCCACTCGGCAGCGCCGCGACAAACACTGCTCCCGCTCGCTTCCGCCCCTGCCAGCCCCCTCCTCAAACTCCCCGGTGGAGACGCCCCTCCCCCGGTGGCCGAGGCCTCTGTCGCCACCCACTGCACCCCGCTCGGTGTACCCAGTCCCAGGTGGTCGGGGGCCCGCGTCGAGACCCCTGATTCCGTCGTGAGGGTCGATGGGACTGGGGACCACGCTGGGCAGGATGGGGTTTCGGGATGGGGGGCACCTCTAGGGATGCGCAGGGCAAGCCTCGGGCAGGGGGGCAGGGGGCCGAGACTCCAAAGAGCAGACTCGAGGGGAGCGTATTTGGTGGGTGCAGGGGAGAAAGTAAGTCCCCTTCAGGCTCGCGGGACCCCGCAGCCCCCAGTCCCCAGCCCCACTTCCAAGCTGTGCCAGCCACGGCCTCGCAGCGCCGCCTGCCTGCCACGCCGCGTATCTGGTGCGCACGCCCGCTTCCCCTACCAGCCTCACCGCTCAGGAGCCATCCACCACCACCAGGTGCCCCAGAAAGTAAGGGTGGGGGCAGGGAGCACAGGGACATACACCCCGCCCCCACACAACCCCGCCAAAGGTCCTCTGAGACCCTGCCAACTCAGTGGTGGGTGCGGAGCGACTCTGCTCTCCCATTTTGCAGGCAGGCCACTCTAGGTTGGGTGGGGAGTCCCCAGGATCTGCCACGAGAGTTTGTGGGGACTCCAGACCCCTGGGAGGTCCCCTCATCTGGGAAATGGATGGGTGGGTCTATTTTGTTCAATAATTAAGAAAATACAAGACAAAGGAAGGGGAAGTGAATGCTGCCTTGCCATTTGGGGTTTTTAAGAAGCCCTGGTAGAACCATGAGCGAGCATCCAGATGTGAGCGAGCATCCAGATGCTAAGTGCAAGGTGAGTGGCTTGACTGGATATCACTCTGCTGAAGGGAAAACCGAGAGGCCTGCTTCCGGTGACTTACTATAGATTTAAAACCCTATGGGGTAAGAAACCCTATAGGGCAATTCTACTCTGTCCAGTAGAGTCACTGAGTAGAATTAACACAGAGCTTTTGAGGGGACCCTCAGCTCTGAGTGGCAGCTGGCAGCTGGTGTCGGCTACCTGATGGCTCCTGTGGCTAGGGTCCGACAGGTGACCTACCTCCCTTCAGACAACTCCACCTCCATCGGGACCTCCTGGACAAGGTGCGTGCTCAGAGGAGGGTCTCAACCCTTCGAGCTTGACTCCTCAACCTACAATTCAGGTTTGACAATGTCAACTCCCTGCACTGTACCCAAACCAACCTCACTGCCAGAGAGCCAATGCCCAGTGACCCTGTAGGACAGAGCAGGATTGCTCCCTGGGGGTTCCAAGGCTGTAAATCTTTACCGCGGAACAGACCGCCAACCCATTCTTCCTCAGTGAGAGCTGGTGGGTTTGAACCACCGACCGGGTGGTTAGTGTCCAATGCTTAACCCCCTGCACCTCTCAGGATTATGTGAAACACGTGCGTAGAGCAGGCCCATCACTGCTTCCTGTCCCATCCAGCTCTGACTCCCGCTAGCCTCTGAGTCTCCGGGCCCAGGGGCACCAGCAGGTGTGCCTTCGGGGGTACTCCAGAAGGCCCAGGATAAATAAGGTATGTCTTCCTGGAAGGTATCTTTCCTCAAAGATGTTGTTTTCCCTCCGGTGTAGGTAATTTTAAAACCTCACTTTAATGCTAAAAGCAAATGTAAATATAGTATAAAGTGGAACTCTCAATTTGCATGAAGTTTTAAGATAAAAAACTGGGAGACTGCCAAACAGCATTGCTCTCAGCAGCCACCCAGCCCCAGGGGTGCAGTCACTGGTGGCCATGCTGGCGTCCGCACATCGTAGCCCGGCCCCTCTTGTGCCCCGTCTGAAGAAAGGGCGAGGGGCAAGATCTGGGCTCCCTCTGGGCACTAAGGGCAGGACATGGGTGAGGGCATGGAGGTGAGCCTGACAGCCAGAGGGGACAGGCTGGCACTCAGAGCATCCCACTCAAGGCCCAGCTGAACCAGGGTGAGAAGGGAATGGGGTGGGGGCGGGCAGTGTAGGAAGACAGCCATCTACCCCGGGGCATAGGCACACACCAGCCAGCCAGTCTCTCACTTCCTTTTTATTTCTTCTCAGACCTGTAAAGCAGCAGCACCGGGGAGGGAACCTGCCCTCTGGTCCTCCCCACCCCACCCCCCACCCCGCAAGAAGCTTCCACACCCCCTTCCAGGACACAGCACCCTCTGGCCCCTTTCCTTCTGAGAAGGTAAGTGTGTACACATGCACACGTACATGCATGCGTGTACACATGTGCGCGCACACACACACACATTCCTGACACTGTGCAGCTGAGAGACGGATGCCCCCAGGAGCCAGGAAACAGGAGCCCCCTGGGGAAGGCCCAGAGGGCAGGTCTCCTCCAGTGCCTGGAGGGAGGGCGGGCAGAAGGCGGATTGCTCCTGCACCAGGGCGGCCTTCCGTCAATAGTCAATGGAGCGTTGCTTTGCAAGATTTTCCTTGTTTGTTTGTTTGTTTGTTTGTTTGTTTGTTTGTTTGTTTGTTTTAAAGCATTTGTTTTTGGTTTTTCTTCTTCTTCTTCCCGCCCCCCCCCCCATTTTTTTCCTTTTGCAAATCCCTACAAAAATAGAACTCTGGGTATTTATAAATCTGCAGCCCCAGGCTCTGTGTGCAAGATAACAGGTAGAAAAGCCGCTTGGACACGCCCTCTGGTTGCTCAGGCCTTGCCTCTGCCATGGGGCTCCCAGCCTGGGAGGTCTACGTTGCCGTCAGCTCAGGGCCAGTCAGCATCTTCTGGGGGTCGGGCAAGCCCGCTGCATACTCCTTCTGGAGTCGAGCACGGAAGTAGAAGAGGTAGGAGGGTAGCAGGAAGCCCAGGAGTGAGAAGAGCAGGAGGCCCAAGTTCACCTTGAGGGCGTGGGGAGAAAGAGGAGGAATCATGGTCATGACTTTCAGGGATCTACCTAAGGCTGTGACAGGGAAGAGGGTAGGCCCTTTGGCCCCCAAGTTCTGGAGCAGCCAGTCTTTCTGATGTGCATTCACTATGCGCTGCTGCTTTTTATTGCAGTCTGAGTTGATTTCCATCCCTGGCGACCCTTCGGGTAACTGCTCCAACAGGGCTTATGAGGCTGTGAGTCTTTTAGAAGCTGACCACCAGGCCTCTCTTCTGAGGCACCTCTGGGTGGTTTTGAACCACCGACCTTTCAGCTGGTAGCTGAGCACTTCACTGTCTGTGCCACCCCAAACCAAAACCCAAGCTCACTGCCATCAAGTCGATGCAGACCCATAGCGACCCTATAGGACAAAACAGAACTGCCCCTGTGGGCTTCCAAGACTGTAACTGTTAACAGGAGTAGAGAGCCCTATCTTTCTCCAAGTGGCTGGTGGTTTCAAACTGCTGGCTCCGCGGATGGCCACCCAACACACAACACTGCGCTCCCACGGCTCCAGTCTGTACTGATCACATGCCAATCTGTCGGTCCCTTGATTGGCACAGGGTCTTCTCTCAGGGGCACAAACAGTCTGTGCTCATCTATTAGCCTAAAACTTGACAAAGCCCACTAACCTAAGAGCTGAAGGTTCAAGCGTACCCAAAGGTGTCAAGGAAGAGAGGTCTGGCCACCTGCTTCCATAAGAGCCTCCAGCCAAGAAAACCCTACAGAGCGGATGGATCTACTGTCACATTCAGGGTCACTGTGAGTGGAAAGGGACTTGACAAGTTGAGTTTTTGCTTCTGATCTGCCAATCACTGCATCAGCAGCGTCTGGTTGAACATTCAACTGCCTTGTAAGGTGTCTGCCACCCTTGGTGGGATCTGGTAAGGGCAGGACCTGGCTTTGAACTCAGCAGACACCAGTGCCCACACAGCAGGGTGGCAAGGACACCATGTGGGTGGACAAGGAAAGAGACAGCACTGGAGGCTGTGGCAGGCCAGGCTGCTCCCAAAATGTGGCTGCAGGCTCAGGGGACACTGCCAGGTTCAGTCCCCTGAGGAGGCTCTTGGTCAGTTAAAGGAACAGGGACTTGCACAAGGAGGGCAGTGGGCTTGGCAGGCACCAGACAGCAGCCTCTACCAGTGGGCTGACTCCATCTACATCCGGGCTCTGCCACCACTCACATTGTGACTTCACTCTGAGCAAGTGATCCCAATCCTACACGCCTTCCTTTCAGGATGGTTCAGGCCAAGATGGAGTGGGGAAAGTATGTGGCGCCCACATGGGGTGCTCATGGTGGCTGATCCTCCAGCAGTTCTTGTGGGAGGAAGGTTTATATAGCCTTAAAGGTATGTGTGTGTGTTGTGGGGGAGGGGTCTCCCTACAGAGGAACCCTGGTGGCCTAGTGGTTATGCATGGAACTACTAACCTCAAGGTCAGCAGTTTGAAACCATCAGCTGCTCCTCAGTAGAAAGATGGGGCTTTCTACTCCCTGTAAGGTTAGTGTCGGAAGCTCACAGGGGTAGTCCTACCCTGTCCTATAGGGTCGCTGTGAGTCGACATTGGTTTGGAGGTTTGTTTTGCGGTGGGAGGGACACGGACAGGTGGGGGGATCCCTTCCTGAGGGTGGCAGGGACACTATGTGCTAGACTCTGAACGAGGGTGATGGTTTGGACCCTTCCTGCAGAGAAAGGCCTGATAACCAGCTTCCCTTAACCCCGCAGAGCAGCTCCGCTGTCACCTGGGGGTCCCCATGAGACTTTGCAGTGGGTTTGACCTCATGGGGTGACCGGCGCCCCTCCCTGCAGTGTTTGAGGAAGGAGAGGAGGAGCCTCCTTCCTGGGGTGCTAGAGAGGGAATCCCCGCAAGGGGCGGGCAGGGCGGGAGTGAACAGACAGTTCCTGAATACAGACAGGTCCAGCCCTCAGAACCAGGAGCTCCATACCAGCTGGGCTCCTGGCCCTGAGGGGAGAGACCTTGTTGAGATTCACTCTCAGCCAGCTTGGGGGGGCGAGGGGGGAGGATCTGGTATGTGAGAAGCCTTTGAGACATCGCAGGGCATCTGTCACAAACCAACCCCCTACCCACTCACCTGGGACACCCCACAGCCAAGTTTTGGCTCCCTGCCCACCCCCACTCCCCCAGTGCTCACCCAGAAGGGGTCTCCTTTCAAGGGTCCCACCATGACCATGAAGAGCGGCTGCTGGAGCAGGGCGAACACAGCGCTGATGAGGGACTGCAGGCCCGTCAGGGTTCCAAAGTGGTTAGACGGGAACCTGTCAAAGAAGGACCCGGGCATTAGGGGCATGCCACCCTCTTCGCCCCTGCATCCCGAAGAAGCCATGTGGCCCTTTGATGCCCCTGGCACGCACCACCACCCCCCTAACATTTCTCTGCACGTCCTTGGGTTGCTTGAGCCTCAGCTACCCGACACCCTGCCCCTCGGACTACACACCTACTTTCTGTGAGATAATGGTGGTGGTGTGACAGGTTAAGCATCGCCTTGTTCACTGCAAGGTCAGCAGTTCGAAAACACCAGCCCTCTCCACAGGAGAAAGATGAGGCTTTCTACTCTTGTCCAGATGTACAGTCTCAGAAGCCCAGAGGAGCAGTTCTGCTCTATACAGCGGCTCTGGGTTGGAATGGACTGGATAGCAGTAAGTATGGGTGGCTTGTGAGATCAGACACTCAAACTGTACCTGCCGCTGTTCTGCAGGAGAAAGATGAGGTTGCCCCTTCCCCTACGGGCATCCAGCCTCAGAAATCTTACAGAGGTGCCATGAGCCAGAATCCACTCAATGGGTGTTTTTTTTGTTTGTTTCTTTGGGTTTTGGTTGGGTTTGGGGCCGGGTGCATGGTTACCACTCAGCTGCTAACTGGAAAGGCAGCAGTCTGAAGTTCAGACCCCACCCGCTTCAGCGGCGGTCTGCTTCTGTCACCCGCCAGGCCAGTGTCCTCCCAACAGGGTCATTGGGAGTTGGAATCCACTGCAGGGCACTCAAGGACACACACACCCCCCCCAGTCCTTTGCTCGTGTTCTTTCCCCCTTCCTTTGGGGGGCAGGGAAAAGACACCACAAGATGCTCAGCAGCCCAACAATCTACAGGTATGATCCTGCCACAGGGACTGTGTTCTTCAGGGTGAGTGACCCTTCTTATCACTTGCCTTTCCTGACTCCCTGCACTCTTGGGACACATACTTGCTGGGCTCCTGCTGTGTGCCAGGCCCTGAGCAGGAGGGCCAGGGCAGACCTTGCCCAGGGGATGGTTAGGTCAAGGCCTGAAGGAGGTCTTGTGGGGGATTGCCGGAAAAGGAGTGCTAAAGTGTGGGTTAAACTGTGACCACCATACCCTCCCCCCACAAAATGGGTGTTATGTGTCCTACAGCCTTATAATCCTTAGGAGCCCTGGTGTTCCAGCAGGTTAAGCATTGGCCAGGGGTTCGAGTCTACCAGCCGCTCAAAGGGAGGTAGACGAGGCTGTCTGCTCCCATAAAGATTTACAGGCTCAGAAACAGGCATTTACAGGCAGCTCTTACCCTGTCTTATGGGGACGCTGGTTTGGTTTGCTTTGTACCTCTAACTGCAGCCAAACCAACCTCAGGGCCACCGGGTCCATTCTGGAACCACCAGCCAGGGTAGAACAACCTCTGTGGGTTCCCAGGACTGTAACCCTTTACAGGTGCAAAAAGCTTCACCTTTCTTCCACAGAGCAGCTGGTTGATTTTGAACTGGGGACCTCGAGGTTAGTAGCCCCACGCGTAACCCACTACGCCACCAAGGCGCCTCCTGTAACCGTAAGTGAGCACAAACCCAGTGCCCCTGAACCAAACGGGCGCGGTCTTTATAGAAGCGGGACTCTGTTAGGTGAAGGAGGCAGCATGGGTGCAGGTGTGTCTTCAGCCCGTCAGCTCTGAGCGATGAGGAGAGCAGAGGGCGCACCAAGAAGGATGTGCCCATAGAAGGAAAATCGCCAAGGCCCAGAGAAAGAAAAGCTGAAGGGAGACCAGGACCTCCCCCAGAGCCAACAAAGAGAGAGAGAGAGAGAGCCTTCCTGAATTGAGACTCTAGCCACCTAAACTGTGATAAAATAGGTTTCTGTTCATGAAAGCCCCCATTTGAGGCGTTTCTGGAACAGCAGGCTGAAAGAACAAAGACGAGGAAGAGTGGGAGGCACAGGGCCCCGAGGTGGCCGGGCCTGGGAGGGCACACTGAGGTCTCTGGCTTTTGTCTGAGTGAGACAGGAAGCCAGGCGTGCTCTGAGTGAGGATTGCCAGGGAACGGAGATGGCCACAGGGAGGCTTTGCGGAAGGAAGGAAGGAAGGAAGGAAGGAAGGAAGGAAGGAAGGAAGGAAGGAAGG